CAATAGCGCATTATCAGCGTTGCTACAATCAGCTTTAGCGACTTAGAGCCCAACGCAGCGCCCCCTCCCACTCCATTTCCACCCTAAGTGTTCTAGGCTAGATTTCGTGTTAAGTTTGATTTGCTCAAGGATAGCTTAGATCGCGCTCTCAAGACCGCTTTTTCCGTTCATCTACTTAACTCTGCAGTGTTTTTTGCATTCGGTGATCAGTGTGTTGTCCAAGGGTTACCACTCAACGCTGTACAAATTTACTTTGGCGGAAGCTGTGTAGAACGGATTATTAGAAATTGTGTTCCGTGACTTTTTTCTTTTGGAGTACACCAAGAAAACGGGTTTCATCTACAGCGGGGCGAGTCTTCCCTTTTTACCTAGGCAGGAATCAATACAAACAAATTTTTGCGTTCCTGGAAGCCTTGGCACAAAATATAGCGCGGCAAAATCTATTCCTAACAATTCTCTACATAAAAACCTAAACTACGTTGACGTACCGTAGCTGTTCTCGTCCGCGATGTAGTCCACTGCAAACTTAGGGGTTTTCACTTGCCAAGGATGAGGCTCCGCAGGTAGTCCTTGAGCGGGTTTTGGACTAATCCCAGTGAATTCAGGGTAATGCCCGTAAGACTTGTGTCCTACCGGTGCAGCAATAAACGTCAAATAGTCGTGTGGCACGGTGTTCTTCTTCGTTGGTATGTGCACAGGGCCGTTTGGAGTGTCATTGAGCGGAGGTGGAGCGGGATCTTTCTGCGTGAAAGCGCTTGTTGGCGCCTGACGTTCAACAGCTTCAGCCTGACGTGGACTGAGCGCATGATTTGGTTGCTTTTGATATGCGGTAGGGTAGTAATATGACGGAAATCCAAGGTTACGAGAGTTGGGAGATGATTGGGATGTGTATTGATCGTAGGTCGTCTTCGAATAGTAGTTGAACATGGCTGATGACTAGCGGGAGAGGGAGACTAGACTACCGCTCACTGAGAAATCGTTACAACGAGCGGGTCGAGCAGGAATATGAATTGGGAGCTAGATTGGTCCGAAATTTGAGGTCGTAAAGCCGTCTATGGAAGCATACGGATGTGCGAAGCTCTTCGTCGCTCTAGAAGATGTCAGTCGAGGGTCAACGGAACCGCAGCAGCTAGAGATGAAAGGGGCAGCGATGACTGTCGAAAAGCACAGTGACAGCTCGCAAACGATTTCGTTCAGTGTTTGTTCTAGAAGTAGAGGCGGTGCGCGCGAATTGCTAACATTGCCAGGTGAGTAGCAGCAGAGAATGAAAGGACAGAGAGGAAACCAGGCTGATATTCGACAACCAGCCTGGTACTCAGAAGTTTTTGGGGGTACCCTAGCCTGAATAGGGTCCTAGCAATCGAACCTTTGATACAGTTCCATTGAATCTTCGAGGATATGAACAGGCAACCGTCCTTCAGCACTATTAGAACGAACTTATTTGAACTTATTTGAACTATTCGAACTTATTTGAACGAAGGGATCGCAGTAGCGATTCTGAGAAGGGAAGGGGGGCTACATATGGGGTTCAAGAAGGTTAATCATCACAGGGAACGGGGCAAATGGGGGTCCAATGGAGAAGGACAAATGGGGGTCGTAAA